GTAAAGAAATTCTCAGACCAAGAAGCGATCTGCAACTTCTGGAACAGAAAATAGAAGAGCAAGGTACTCGGACAGAGTCAGATGACTATAAAAACACTGTGGGCGGGGCTGGAGAGATGGCTCAGCTGTTAAGAGCCCTGACTGCTCTTGGAGAGGACCGGGGTTTGATTCCCAGCACCCACATGGCGGCTACAAACTGTCCTTAACTCCAATTCCAGCGGAATCCGAAGCCCTCTTCTGACCTCCACAGCATTGTGTGACACGGGTGCACTCATAAACATGCAGGCAATACACTCATACACTTAAATAAAAATAATAAATAAAATATTTTTAAAAACAGTGTAGGCAGATCATGCAAAGCTGTAGAAAATGAAACATTATATAATTTCCCCCAGTTCAAATAAAATGGACAAAAGAGAGAAATGTGCAGAGGTTTGGATCACTCCCTCAGAAAGACTGATCCAAATAGAGCCAATATTTCACTGACCATAGCCTAAACTTGAGGAATATGGATTTTTATTATATATATCATTAAGACTCGGGATGTAGCTCATGGTAGAGTGTTTGCCTAGCATGAACAAGGTCCCAGAGGCACTTCTAGCTCTAAAAGTTAAAATATTATCTTTTATTTGTCACAAGCATTTCCTTTCTACAAACTTCATCTAATAATTAAAATCACATCCCTTTATTTTATTCTGGAAAAATCTATGATGTACTAAAAATTCATTGTTTTCATGTATTTAACAATTAGCACTTTAGGTTAGTCTTTAGAAAATGCATCAGCTGGGGCTGGAGAGATGGCTCAGCAGATAAGAGCACTGGCTGCTCTTTCAGAGGACCTAGGTTCGATTCCCAGCACCCACATGGTGGCTGACAACCATCTGTAACCCCTGATCCAGGGGTTCCAACACCCTCTTCTGACCTCCGAGGGCAAAGCACAACATGGGTGCACCTACCTACATGCAAGCAATACACTCTTACACATAAAATAATAAATAAAATTTTAAAAAAGAAAATACATTAGCTGAAAATTATTTAAATGGTAATATGATTATTGATAATATTTTTGATAATAAAATTTAATTTTCTTTACTTATTTCTTAAACAGTTTTAATGGAAAAATTATTTACATGTTAACCAAGGTAGAATGTAGAGAATCTGATATAGGAAGGGTCATCTAGACAGGTTCATCAGTCTTAATGCTTTTCCTATGAAAAGATGGAGATGACATTATACAGAAGGACTCACGACATATATAAATTTGCCAAGGGCACAGATTTTGAGTTGTCTTTTAAATTGGATTCCTCCTCTTCCATAGATAATTGGTCATCTTATAGTAAAGAAAAAAAAATCCATCTGGGAGTCCATGGCCTGAGTTCAATCAATAACTACATTTATAGTAGTATAATAATTACTTCAACTTGCTTATGAGTTACTATAATCCTAATCTTCATTATATGTCATATGATATGAAAGGGGAGATGCTGATCAATCTAAACTCCTATGAGAAAGGATGATGCCCCTGTGAAGGCCTACAAACTATGTCATAGAAGAAATGTTTGAAAAGGCAGGGTATCTAGTTTCTACAAGGAAATTCCTGTAGAATAATGGCCATTTTCAAATATTTGAAAGCCTCTTGGATATTTAACTTATTTTTCTTGAGATTTTGTTGAAGTTTTACAAATTTCATACACTATATTTTGATATTTGAGCCCCTCCCTTATTTACACCTCCCTTATAGCCCCCCCACACGCACGCATGCATGCGCATGCGCACACACACACACACACACACACACACACACACACACATTAAAGGACTATTGAGTCAAACTTCAATCCTCAAGCATCGTGCATTGTGGTTCCATCCACTGAAACCTGGTTAACCTATCCTGAGTCACACCCTTAAAAAAGACTGAATCTCCCCCTTCCAGCAGCCATTGGTTGCCAAAAGTTCCTCAGCTAGGACTGGGGTTTCTTATCCACTTTCCCATTTCTATACTGGGATTTTTGTCTGGCTTGAGCTTACATGGGTCTTGTGCATGCCGTCACTGTTTCTGTGAGTTCATATGAGTAACTGCCCAGCTGTCTGGAAAACTCTGCTTCCTTGTGGTCCTCTACCACCTCTGTCTCTTACAATCTTACCTCCCCCTCTTCCACAATGATCCCTGAGCCTTAGGAGGCAGAAGTTTGATATAGGAGTCCCATTCAGGGATAAGCACTCTGCAGTCTCCTGTTCTCTGCATATTGGCCAGTTGTGGGTGTCTGTGTTAATCACCATCTGCTATTTAGGGAAGTTCTTCTGGTGATAGTTGTGAGATGCATCAATCCATGGGTATAATAGTAAGTCAATAAGAAACAGTTTAAACTAGTAGAAAACTAGTATTAAACTCTCCCCTATGCCCTGTTACCTGTCTAGCCTCAAGTTTCTAGGCCTAATGTAAGTGTCAGATATGGGCTCCATCCTACGAAGCAGATCTTAAGTCCAATTAGAAAATGATTGTTTTCTCTCATGATATTCATGCCACTATTGCCCTGTGAGCATATTTTGCCAGGCCAGTTGTTGCTGTAGCTCACAGGATTCACATCTGAGTAAGGTTGATGATTAATTTTCTCTTCAGGCAGCATGCATAGCACCTTCCAGCACTATGAACTCGAGCCAGTAGAGATGAGGCTGTGAAGTCAGCACAGCTTAATGTTTCCTTATATATTCTACAGCTCATGTATGTGGTGTCTTTAGCAACAGCGTTTTACAATGATGTTCTAGTGGGTAACCAAGAGCAGGGTCAATGACCAGTATTGTTTGAAGGTCTATGGGACCCTTAGTCAACAGTTTCAAAAGAAGGAGTTCATTCCTGGCATTGGGTTTTTTCTGTGTTAGTCTGTAGTGCCTGTTAGGGAGAGATCTCCATTATAGGGTAACTTCTTTTAATCTTTTATATGTGTATATACTTTTAGAAGGGTCCAGAGTGGTAGGTTTTGAACCCAAAGTGCTAGTTGCAAAAGTTAGTATTTAGCTTAGTTGCAGGAAGCCCTTGGAAAATTTAGTTTGAGTTAGAATGTACTACCTAGTGAGGTCACACTCTCCCTGTTCTTGGAGAAGTTCCAAGGAGAGGCTATCAGTCAACTGGCAGTGCTTGCTTTGGTGTGTGTTGGGGTGGGGGTGGGGGGATCATTTGAGAGTAGAAACCAAGTAACCCTTGAGATTCCTCCTAAAACTGAGATGTTATAACTGTGTGTGTTCAAGGGCATGTGTATTGTTACCATTTCAGCTGCCAAATACAGACATCCAGTGCCAAAAAGATGTTGTTATGATGGAGCCCGTTATAATAGCCATGAAACCTGTGAGCAGCGAGTTGCCCGGATTACCATAGGCCCACGCTGTGTCAGCGCTTTCAGTGAATGTTGTACCATTGCAAACAGCATCCGGACTAACAGTTCTCATAAAGCCATGAACTTAGCAAGGCTACGTAAGTATCATGTTTTCTATCAGAATGGGGAATTTTTTGTCAATTAATGCTACTAAGAAAGGCAGTTTTCATGCTTTAGTGAAAGTTGAAAATAGAAAAGATAACTTATAAATACCCATATTATTTTTAGGAATTTGAAGTGGTATGGTTCAGAGCAGAGTTCACTACTCCGGAATCCAGAGCCAGTGTGACTCTAAAGTCAACTCGTTCTGTAAACTTAACTTATGTTTATCCTCTCTGAGCCTCGAGGAAGAGCCTTAAATTGAATAATCCCAATATATCTCTGAGTTCTAAACTTCTGTGGTCCTGTTATAACCATCGAAAAAAATGCAGTTTATGGGCCTAGAGAGATGGCTCAGCAATTAAGAGCACTGGCTATTCTTGGAGAGGACTCAGGTTTGTTTCCCAGTATATACATGGCAGCCTACAACCCCCTGTAACTCCACTTCTAGGAGATTGGACATCCACTTCTGATCTCTGTGGGCTTTGCCCACATATGTACACTTACATACATTCATGTAAAAATACACATACATATTAAATAACTAATTTTATTGCAGTTTATATTTATACTAACCATGGCAGAAGATTTCTAAACCAAGCAAAAAATTGTTTACTTGTAAAGCTTGGAGCTTTATTTCAGTTTCAGCAATAACATGTTTTTTAGAATTTATAAAATTCTCAGTATGTTTTCAAAACTCTTAGGACTTTCCTACTACACCTGCTATTTGGGGATATTTTACCATAGCTGTGTACATTTAGGTTGTTTCCCGGTATGCAGCATTTTAATGAACTATCTAGTACAGATATTTTTTTCACTGCCCAAAGCAGTTGACGTCATCTGCATGGAACCAGATCTCTGAAGCCTCCTCCTCCCTGCTAACTCCATCCCTTATTATAGACAGCTTGGCCTTGACCAACTGCCATCACCACTGCCTTAAGTCTTCCAGACCATCAGGCTCTGTGTGATCTCCTCTCTCCACCTTGGCTTATAAATGGCCTCCAGGCAAAAAACTGGGGCAGTTTAGGCTCACTTCTCTCAGGGACCCCAGTATTGTGCTGCTTGTGTGCTAATGTCTGAGAACTGTTGTTTCACATGCTGTGTCTGGTTTTCTAGATCTAGTCCCTAGTAGTATGTTTTGGATAGAAACAAATTTCATCTACTTTTAATAAAGTAAATGCAAATAAATGATTATTTAGGCCAGGAAATCACAGAAAATGTTACTATTTTCTAATATAAACACAATTTTGAAAATTACACAATTTCAGTAACTATAGATGGACCAGTATGTTGCATAATCTCAGAAACACAAAACATTTGACATGTTAAGAAACAAACATTAGATGTTCTTATGCTGTGTTTTGTCAGTATCATTAGTGCTGTCCTAAGACTTCTAAAGTTCTATTTTGAAGTCATTAAACAAATTGCTTTAATGGCCTTTTAAAAACTATATTAGTCTCTCCTACCCGCAGGCCTCTCTCCAGGTTTGGGTCCTGTCCCATTCCTTGTCTTGGGACCCCAGACACCTGGGGAACTAATACTGCTTCCTGATCCTTTTTATCCAGACCAATGTAATGCCTTCTCTGGACCCCAGGAGTACTGCTTCTGGGCCTGGACCTGCCCTCACCTCCCTCTGCTTCCCTGGGCCTGCAAGACCCACCTCTGGCCTCTCTCCTACCAGCAGGCCTTTCTCCGGGACCAACCCAGCTCCTCAGTGCAGTCCCCAGGAGTCCTTGGGGCCTCTTCCCACCCCATCTGTCTTTGCATCTCTGGGTGACATGGCCACCAGCTGTCCTAGACCAGCATCTTTCCTAGGCCAGGTTCCCAGGCCAGTCCAACCCCCAAATTCCTGAGGCCAAAATAGTTCCTGGAGGGATACAGACCTTAGGAGAAAGCCTGAAAACATCTGACCCTCATCTGAACTGGCTCTCTGTGGGAACTCCTGAAGACAAAAGCACTCCGGTCACTCCAATATAAAATCAAAAGAGAGAATTGGAAGCTTAGATGAACCAGCTTTTCATGTCCAAAAAGTAAACCACAAAGACACATAAAGTTCACAAAAAGAAGCAGACCTAAACTTGAAGGCCCGAGTCTCACACAAGAATCAGAAACTATAAAAGAAATTCACATGTCAAAATCACAGAGAAAAAATAATAACATGAAAAACCAAAATAACATATCCCCACCAAATACCAATAGTAACATATCCCCACCAAATACCAATAGAGGAGTATAATGAGAACTCCCTAGAGATAATTCAGGACATGGAACTCAAAAGAACAATTATAAACATGATAAAAGAATTCAGTGAATTTAAAGAACATACAAAAAAAGAAATCAAAGAACTGAAGGAAGATAGGGATAAACTTCTGAATGAATTCAGAAAAGAGTTAGAAATATTGAAGAATACTCAGGCTGAAATGAAGAAGGAAGTGAAACACTCAGTAAGCCAATTAGAAATGACAGGAGAAAGCCTCACCAATAGGATAAACGAAATGGAAAACAGAGTATCAAGACTGGAAGATAAAGTGGATGAACTAGATCACTCAAGCAAAGATTATGAAAAATTTAAGAAATTGCAAGAATGAAATATGCAGGAATTTTGTGACACCATAAAAAGACCAAACTTATGAATCATAGGCATACAGGAAGGAGAAGAATCCCAAGATAATGGCATGGACCAGATCTTCGACAGAATCGTGGGAGAAAATTTCCCAAAATTAAAGAAAGACATGCCCACAAAAATACAAGAAGCATATAGAACACCAAACAGACAGGACAAGAAAAGGATCTCCCCATGGCACAGTATAGTAAAAACACTAAATGTGCAAAACAAAGAGACAATCCTGAAAGCTGCAAAAGAGAAACAAGTCACCTATAAAGGAAAACCCATTAAGATTACAGCTAACTTTTCAGTGCAAACTATGAAAGCCAGAAGAGCCTGGACCAAAGTATTCCCAGTTCTAAATGACCACAGATGCCAACCCAGATTACTATACCCAGCC